TTGAATCAAACCCAGAATCTCAAACACCTCAATCTTGCACACAATAGATTTTCCAAACAACAATTCCCACAAATCAGTATGCTCTCTGGTTTAGAGTATCTAAACCTTTCTGAAACTAATCTCATTGGTCACATTCCCATTGAAATCTCACTGTTGAGCAATTTGAGAACACTTGATCTGTCCAAAAACCATCTCACCAGTCATATTCCTCTTCTGAGTATTAAGAACCTCCAAGAATTTGATGTTTCATACAACAATTTAAGTGGAGAGATCCCATTATCACTCATAGAAAAACTCCCTTGGATGGAAAGGTTCAACTTCTCTTATAACAACTTGACCCTTTGTGCTTCAGACTTCACGCCCGAAACCCTCAGATCAGCTTTCATTGGATCATCAAACAGTTGCCCAATAGCTGCAAACCCAGGTCTATTCAAAAGAAAAGCTTCAAAGCATAGGGGCCTCAAGCTTGCTCTGGCTTTAACCCTATCAATGGTCTGTTTGCTTGCGGGGTTGCTATTTTTAGCATTTGGTTGTCGAAGGAAAACGAGAATGTGGGTAGTGAAACAGAATTCTTACAAAGAAGAACAAAATGTTTCTGGCCCCTTTTCATTCCAGACTGATTCAACCACATGGGTAGCTGATGTTAAGCACGCAACATCAGTCCCAGTGGTGATTTTTGAGAAGCCATTGTTGAATTTCACATTTGCAGATCTCTTGTCTGCAACTTCGCATTTCGATAGGGGCACTTTGTTGGCTGAAGGGAGGTTTGGGCCTGTTTATAGAGGATTTCTACTAGGTGGGATTCATGTGGCCGTTAAGGTCTTGGTCCATGGATCCACCATGACAGACCAAGAAGCTGCACGAGAGCTCGAGTATCTTGGTCGTATCAAACACCCTAATCTTGTTCCATTGACAGGATACTGCTTGGCTGGAGAGCAAAGGATTGCCATTTATGATTATATGGAGAATGGAAATTTGCAGAATTTGCTTCATGATCTGCCGCTTGGGGTTCAAACTACAGAAGATTGGAGCACAGATACATGGGAAGAAGATGACAATAATGGGATTCAAAATGTTCGGTCTGAAGGCTTGTTCACAACTTGGAGATTTAGGCATAAAGTTGCACTTGGTACTGCACGAGCGTTCGCATATCTCCACCATGGCTGCTCACCTCCCATTATTCACAGAGACGTCAAAGCTAGTAGTGTTTATCTTGATTCAAATTTGGAGCCAAGACTGTCTGATTTTGGACTGGCAAAGATTTTTGGTCATGGCCTTGTAGATGAGATTGCTCGTGGATCACCGGGGTATGTCCCACCTGAGTTTCTTCAGCCAGAAACTGGCTCTCCAAGGGCCCCAACTCCAAAATCTGATGTTTATGGATTTGGGATCATTCTTTTTGAGCTCATTACCGGGAAAAAGCCCATTGGAGATGATTATCCAGAGAAGAAAGAAGCAACTTTGGTCAGTTGGGTGAGAGGATTAGTAAGGAAGAATCAGGGGTCAAGAGCTATTGATCCAAAAATTCACGGAACAGGACCGGAGATCCAAATGGAGGAGGCTTTGAAGATTGGATATCTATGCACGGCTGACCTTCCTTCAAAGCGGCCAAGTATGCAGCAGGTAGTTGGACTTCTTAAGGATATTGAACCAGTTACGCAACTTTGAAGACAGTGAAGAAAACTTAGAAGAGTTTGGTTCCTTGCAATTTTTCTGATCCGTTCTTTACTTTGATTTTTTGAGTCCTGTTTTGCTGCTTTGGGGGATTGTACAGTAGTTCTTAGATATTTGTTTGGGCTTTGCCATCATTCTCTTTAACTTTACCATTATTGGTGGCAGAAAAGCTTAATTTATAAACATGAATTGATCCTTGGAAGCAATATTCTTCATACATTTTTCATTTGCCTCTTGTTACATACATTATTCTATTGTCATTAATAAAGCAAAGTTAGGATGAGAAGAGTTCAACTGGAAGAATGGATTGTGGGGCTTTAGTTCGACTTGGCTGTTCTTCATGGCACGAAGAACTTTGATTTGACAAAAGAAGAAAAAGCATAGTTGTGAGGCTTAACATACATAGAAAACGGGTTCCCATTAATCGCCTTCCAAACAAAACAACCTGACCTGTATAGGCCGGAAGCCAGAAAAAGGCATGATGGCTCACTTGATCACACTAAAACATTCAGGCACTAAGGTGTGATCTGATATTAGTGGGTTAACTATGTTGTGTCTGGCTACTATGTGATGAAATATACTTTGTGTGGTTCCCAACTGGTTTCTTAGGGCATGTTTGATTTTGTAGATTTGTACTGTGCAATTTTTTATGTGGAGAACGACATGGATTGTCCAATTTTGCTTGATTATTGACACTAGTAAGGCAATGAAGTTTGGGTTGTCTCTTCTGCAAATGCTTTGGAAGCATTTTCTCTGCACAGATATTAGAGAGATATAATCACTTGGAAAAAGCTTAAATAGATGATTGATATGGGTGAGGGAGTGGCCCAGTGGTAAAGGCTCACTACTACCCGCAGGTGGTTATAGGTTTAAACCTCATCTCACACTCTAAAAAAGAAAGAAAAATTAGATGATTCATGGTGTTTGGTCTCTCAAATAGACAGATGTTTGTAGATATTTATGTGGTCCACTGTTCTAATGTTGTAAGTTTATTTATTCTTATGCAGAGGTATTATAACTAATAAATTTTGGTGGACCTGCAGTGATACCATGGACCAACACCACTGGACTAGCAGGCCAACCAGAAATAATTCTCTTGGTTTGTATCGCATAGGGTTTAGAAATTTTTCACATCTACTCACCTGTAATAAAGATGTCAGTATGCATTAAACACTCGAAAGTGGTGAAATGTGGAAATATGTGAAGTCACACTCATTCTAGCAGGTTACGTCTTTAGATTAGTTTATATTGAAGTAGGAGATTATGCTTTTAAATCTCACTTTTACCCTAATAATTGAAATACTTGCACATACTTGAACCAAAATCTAGCATCACATGAGTAAATGTGCTTCAGCATATAAATGCTCATTAAACCCTCTCAAACAACTTAATTTTTTCTTTTTTGAGTAAATAAAAAGTAACATTTTCAGACAAGTCCATAGGTCAACAAGAAGATGGTATGCATCACACTTCTTTTGTACTCTTCTTCTGTCTACATTTTTAAATAATAACTCCACCTCTGTCTTTTAAACAACATTGTAACAGTCACCTCATCCCCCAATGCTCTGCATTTAAGATACTAGGGGTGGGCAGCTTCATTAAAGGTGTCAAGAAGGTCTGTCCTTTGTACATAATGATACAAAAGATTCATGTTCATATTTGCATATTATTCATGTAATACATAACAAGGTGAGTTTGTCTAAGTAATTAAGAAGTTTTGCATCCTCAAGCTGTCAAGCACGACCTCAGGCCGAGTCTTCCTAATTACATTAAAGCGTCTTACCCTTTTTTGCTTAGACTATATTACCTAAATGCATCACCACCCATAAATTGTGTCGTGGTGCACCCATTTCTATGGTCATCCGTTCTGGCTCTCAGGACACAAAAGTATACTTGGCCAAAGTGTGACCCATTAGCGCAAAAGTAAGTACTGTGACAGAGCAATTGTTGCTCACCCAACACGGTCGTTGATATCACAATTTACATGATAACTTGGGGATTCACACATATAGATATGTGTGTGTGCGTGTGTGTGTGTGTGTGTGTTTGTGTGATATATGGGAGAGAAATGGGTTCTTGCCAAGCTAGCTAGATTCAGGAAAGGTATGTGCTTATCTCATCATATTATAATTTCAGCCTAGTCAATATTATAATTGGACCATGTGTATAAAAGTCATGTTCCCCACAATTTTGAATGGGGGAGGGAGAGATTCCCACCACAACAGATGCTTCCTTGCCTCACCAGTCATTACAGTATGCTTCACACTTGCATAATATTTTTTTTTTGTGGGTGCGGGAGGGGGTGGGGGAGGGGAAGGGAGAAGGGAAGGAGATTTGAACTCTTGACTTCAAGAAGACAAAACATTCATAAGATAAGAAGTATCACTGGACCAAAGGCCCATTGGTTCACATTTGCATAATTGCCAGTAAGGTCATGTTCATAATAATTTTAAAGGTTCTATAGGTTTGGTGTCTGAGCATATGTGATGTTTTTAATAATTCAGTTGGGGTTGAAAGATTAAAACAAATCGCACTTTTCATATATCACTAACATAAGGAGTGGGCAGCGAAAGTCTGTCCCATTATAACCTCGACATCAAGAATTCAAATCACGAAAACAACATTCCACATATAGGTTTAAGTCCCGATGTGTCTTATTTCCTGTCCAAGCGATGACAAGTCCACAAGAGCTTTAGAATTTCCTGAAACAACCATTTTTTCAATAATAGAACTGTTCGAAACACTTATATTTGAACTCATCGTAGCGTTGTGAACCTTGAATACATATAATATCTATAAACCACACATTAGGAATATCATCCTTTTAACTCTTAAATTTTTATGAGTAAGGAAACCTAAGGAAAGAGGAGAACCATCATTTGTCACGTCAAAAAATTATTCTTATCGTTCGTTTTTAGTTCCGTAATTATGACGCAAGTTTTAAAATATAAATATCTAATCACATAGACATTAGTGTTTAAACTAGTTATTACCCAACAACTATAAAACAGAAAAAAAAAAATTAAAAAGCACTTCTTCCACCTTTAACACTATTAAGTAAAATAACAAAAAAGAGAGAGGAAGAAATGCCCATTGAGAGATGATAACTACAAAGGAATAATGAGCTCATATTCTTTCAACTGGCATAATTCAGTATGTGTGATCCATATTCTCCTCTGGTCTTCTGCCTAAAGCATCTAATTCCTTCTTCAATTCTTGTAAAGGGTAATTTATTTTTGTGCCTTTTTTCTCCCCAGATAAAAGACCTGTACTATTGTTGTCAAGGTCTTCTTCCTTCCTCAACATTCAGAGAGAGAGAGAGAGAGATGTCGGACGAAGAGCACCACTTTGAGTCGAAGGCCGATGCTGGGGCCTCCAAAACCTTCCCACAGCAAGCTGGAACTATCCGCAAGAATGGTTACATGCCCTGCAAGGTCTCTGTCTCTCCCTATTGTTGAATTTTCTTGTCAAGTTCATCCTTTTTTATTTGAGTTTTTTCATGTGTTTTGACCGAGGCTCGTGTTTAGTTTCCCAGATCATGCTGGCTTATTATGATCACAATCCATTCTATATCTCTCTGTATGTGTACTGATTCATGGTTATTTATGTTGTTGATTGTTTGCGACTTTTTGGGACGTGGGTCTGAGTTGCTTTCAGTAGCAATTGTGTCCATAGATTGAATGGAGGTTCAGTGTTTACCTAGAATTTGTAAGCTAAGTTTATAGATATACAATACAAACGTAAGTATGTATGCTGGGATGTGCTATGGGGTGGCCCAGTCATTTTGATTTTGTGTAATCTAGTGTATTTATTATAAGAAAATACTATTTGGACTTTACAAGTTGATACCATTTGTTGACTCCATCGATCACAACCATTAATTAGGTGATGAATTTTAATATTAGTCCGTATAATTAAATTAATGACAATAATTAATAAAATCAATAAATAATATCAATTTTTGGAGGTCAACATGAGTCATGAACCTGCTATTGCTGGTCAAAATCATTAACTTGGCAGAACTTGCCTTTCACACTGGCTTTTTTGACACCCCCAAAATAGTCATACATTCTGTCACCGTAAAACCGTCCAGTTTGATTTTTGACAAAGATGTGACATACTAGAATAGGCCTCTTTAGAGGTGATTTTATTAGGTGGAAAGTTGTAATTTGAAAAATTTTATAAAAAAATCAAGAATTAAAAAAGTTCTCAAAATTGTTTAAGGATTCTTTACCAAGCTGAAAAATTTTAAAAAGTTTATTTGGAGTGATTTTTAATTTTTTTTTGACTTTTGTGTCAAAATATCAAATAATTACATATGCTTAATAGTTTTCAAAATATGAATTTTAAATTTTTTCTATGTCCCTAATAATATTTTATGAATATAATAAACAAAAAAATTATATAGGACTCATGACAAAACTCCAAAAAATTGAAAGAAAAATCCATAAAATTAACTTATTGAATAAAGGAAAAATTGTGAAAAGGTACTCTATACACTAGTTATTTGTGAGGAAATACCTTAATATAAATCTTTTGTGTATAAGTCATTTTTTATATAAATACTAAAGGCAACTTGTGCCTAAAAGTACAGTGCAATATAACTGGTTTTAATAGAGATGTTGGTGGTTGTTGGATGAATCTATTTGAGATCGTCAGATAAACTTATTGAAATCTACCCTATTTTATATTATAGATTTTGTAAACAGATGCACTTTAGTTGGTTTTTAAATATTTCATTTACGTAAAAAAAAAAAATTCTTTATTCGTGGAAGATAATTTAGGCGGTTAATTGTAGAATTCAATTTTCTATTTTATTGGGACAATTTCTTTTTTTTTTTTTGATTCTATTTTAATGGACTAAGTGGTTTCTTAAATTAAAAGATAATTAACCGTTTAAATTTTGAAATGATTCCATTAGTTTTAAAAAAAATTCTATTCTCCCTTTCTATATTTGACTCTCACCGGTAATATCTATATCTCCCTCTATTTTCTCTCTCAAACTCATTTTCTCTCTCCCATCGTTGCACTCCTCTCCTTATTCTCTCTCACTCTCTCTCTCTTTTATGCAATTTTGCATTTAAGTCACATTGTATGAGACCCACTCTGCGCAAAACAATGCAAATGATGTTTGTTTTGTAGTGTGACGTGAAAAGTTACATTTTTTTATGCCCATACCATGAAAAAATAATGCATATGGAGTAGTTGCATTGTGACATTAGATTAACAGTGTGATACTCGCCATGTGTTTTTTAAATCCTTATGTGACGTGTGTATAAAGTGTTACATTGAAGTCACAGTGTGATACCATCCATGTGCAAACCCTATATATGGTGTTTATATGCAATATGACATTGATGTCACATTCGTGATGCCCACAGTGTGCCGATCCCTAGGTCATACTATGGTACTTTCTATGTGCCAAAATTTACATATGTTGCGTGTATACAGTAAATATTGATGTCACATTATAATGTTTACAGTGATTCAACTCTACGTATATATTTTACAAGTAATATGACATTGACGTCATCGTATATATGTTACAAATATATATACAGAGAGATAAAAATAGTTCTTATCTTAAAAAGTATTTAAAAAAGAATTTTTGATTTTGTGTTAACTTTATTTTGGTCATATATATATATATGAAAACTTAACAATTCTTTCTAAAATTCTTAAATTTTAGAATTTTTTTATATTAAAACTCTTTCTCTTTCTCTTTCTCTTTCTCTCTCTTTATATATATATATATATAAGAAAATTCTAAAATTTAAGAGTTTTAGTTTTCAAATTAATTGGTTTCCTTATTTGATTTTTTCAATAATAATGTGATGATGTTAGGGGTATTTTGGTTCTTCTGCTCTAAAGTGTACTTTTTGCCAAATATTTTTTGAGTTTGCACTTAAAGTCAAATAAGTTATACAAAGTATACCGACTTTAAAAAAACTCTTGAATCAACCTAAATAAGCCTTTTTAGGTCAAAAAAATTTGTTGTATAAGAGCATCTCCAACAATACTATCTAAAATAGTTACTCAAAATATATTTAAATATTGTATTATCTACTTTAGCTAACCATTTTTTTAAATTCACTCCAACAACGCTATCTATTTTAGCTAACCACTTCAACTAACTTTTCAATAATAAAATCTAAAATACTATGTAGTATTGTCATGGATTCATGAGTAATGCCTATAATTCACAATTCACAAATGATATTCATGACCAACAATATCACCAATCAAACTACTTGAACATGAGACAAAAAGGATGGATAAACTACTTGAATGTGAGAAGTCATCCTTCTAAGAAATTTTACACCAAAGCATCATAAACTGGAGTTTCTCAATCAATACAATCAGGTACGTTCAAACAATAATGTATCAGCTTAAGCACTACCCTCAATGCAAATCAACAACAGACCAAATCAAGTCATCAATTAGAGCAAAAATCTTTCACTTTTCTCATTGTTGTTCATTGGTTTTATGCATTATTTAAGTATCCATCCTCAGTGAAGCATCTCAACTTATAATTGTGTAACCAAAATAACAGATTCTGACTAACAAATTGAACAATGCCACAGGCATACCCGATAACAATCTAGCATTGCCCAATACAATCAAAACATAGAAAACTAACACTCCCTTGAAATTACAAACAAATGATCAAGTAAACCAATACCCAAAAATCAAGAATACAAAAATCAAGTAAACCAATACAAGCAAATGATCAACAATACAAAAATCACAAATTAATCCAATCAGGCAAGACCCATCAAGTAAACCAATACCCACATGATTGGGTAAATATACCCACCGGAGATGTTTTGGAGATCTGAATGTATGTATGAAAGAAAGATAGATCTGAATGTAAGAAAGAAAGCCTCCTTGAAGTCGGTAGAGTCGGTGGAGCTTGCGATGGAGTCGGTGGAATTTGTGTTGAATGTCGGTGGAGCCTTCTCAGTGAAGCTGAATGTTGGTTCTGTGCTGTGGAGCTTCAGAGAGAGAGAAAGAGAGAGAGAGGGCCAGCGAGAGGGAGAAGGGCTAGCTACATTGAGCGAGTGAAAATGAGGTTTATCTATTTTAAATAGCCTTTTAGCTAGTCTCTTGGAGTTTCACATTTTGGGAAGAAGTTATCCAAAATAGCTAGGAAAAGCCTTTTAGCTAGCCTCTTGGAGATGCTCTAAGTGGCCAAGAAGCCTAAGTCTAAACGGACTTGGTTTATTTTATTCCGAAGCTTATAAAATCAACTTATTTCTGCCAACTTCAAACAAGTCTAATATCATTTTCTTTTCCCTTATGTTAACGGAGGTATGTTTGATCTTTTAACTTAGTTGAACCAGTTTTTTTGGTTGGTTTTTCAGGTTGTAGAGGTCTCCACTTCAAAAACTGGGAAGCATGGGCATGCAAAGTGTCACTTCGTGGGAATTGATATATTTAGTGGCAAGAAGCTTGAAGATATTGTTCCTTCATCCCACAACTGTGATGTATGTTGCTTTATTTTCTTTTATGCTTACCTATTATTTGCTTGCCCCTTGCATGACTCTGTTTCTCGAGCTGTTATATTGAATCTGATAGACTTGGTGGTCTCATACTGTATTCATTTATATATATGTCAGGTGCTCCCATGTTAATCGTACTGACTATCAGCTGATTGATATCTCCGAACATAGTTTTGTAAGTTATCTTTTGCAGTCGAAGATAGTTTTGTAAGTTACCTATGCAGTTTTTTCTGTACCCATAACACTAAAATATGTCTTAATAGCCATGCAGATGCTTGCTAGTTTCTAGTGAAATAGTTATCATAATTCACTAAACCCCTAGCAACTCACAATCTAGGTACTGCATGCATTTATCACTCAAAATTTTAAGACTTTGCAAGAGTCAATCATAAGTAAAAGAATTTCACCCTTCCTAGGGTAAAGATTTTAATAAAACTTCTTAGCAAAACAGAGTAAGCATCATAAACAAGTTAAAGTAAGGTACTGTAAGTCTGTAATCTAAGGTTGCAGTTAGAATATATGTTTCATAATACCCGCGCTACCTTACTTTTCTATTATGTTATATGTCCAGTACTAAACGTACTCCCTTTAACATTAGCTTAGACTCTTAAATGAGTTGGTGTTTAATATGGTTATTAATTTGACCACTAAAGATCATAAGTGCAAACCCTACTAAATAAAATTTTCCTCAATACACAACATTATCAAGTGAATGCACCACCCAAGAGGTGCGCTACATAGAAGGAGGAGCATTAAATAAATACTCATGTTATACACCTGTCAATACACTTAAACTTCTACGAAGTTGATGTTTAATAAACAATATCAACATATTTTCGTTACTACTTCTAAATGGCGGCAAGAGAAGCAGAAAGAGAGAGAAAAAGTTACTTGAGCGATGTTGGTGGTAATGGTAGACGGTCACGTCATTTGTGGTGGCGGATGTCGTTATGGTGGTGCTATGGTGATGGTGGATGGTGGAGATAAAAGAACCAAGGAGAAATGGGAAGGAGGAGAGATATGGACATGAATGAGAAGAGAGGTGGGGAAGGCACAAGGAGAGAGAAGAGGACGAAAGAATGTTGGCGTGAGCAAAGAGAAAGATATATGGACAAAAAAATGAAAATTTGGGAGAGATCTCTAAATGTTTGATCATAAACCAAACAAACCAAATTCTTGCAATTTATAGGGGTGTATATTTTCAAAACCAATCTCACAAATTATATATATATGTACAAGGATCTAAGATAATTATTAAGTTACCAATACACTATGAGAAATTTTTTTTACAACATTACTAATATGGCTCTACTAGACTACTATTTATTCTTATAATGCATGTAAACACTAGCATTCTCATTCTCTTCACTTACGCTACCATATTCTACGCCTTTTTATTTATCTCCCTTTCTCTTCCATATCTCTATCCTCAGTAATGTTCATATCTCAACTCCTCTTCATTTCTATCCGATTCTTCTATCTCCACCGTCCAACAATGCCATAGAAACAACATAATGCCATTCACCATAGCTAGTGACATGGCCATCTAGTGCCACCAGCAGTAGTGTTGTTAAGGAAACTTTCTTTTCTATTGTTGTTCTATTCACCACCACTACCCACCAATGTCATTAGGACCACCAACATCTGTCATCATCACCAATTTCATAACTCCATCCACCACCACCAACCAACCACCCTACTCCAGCCCCTTATCTTCACCCAAACCCACCTCAGCCCCTAACCACAACCACCTCTACGGTTCTCTCTCACCACTGCCCCCTGCCCACACCATCGCAAAAAAACCACTGCATCCACTACTTGCGCGGTTACGCCTCTTTCTCCACTTCACATCCACAATTTAGTTATGATCTAGAAAAGTTTCCAATTATATGACACTTTATTATTCTATGCTAATTCCAATAATCTCTATTCTAACTCAATATTTGTTTTCACATCTAAAATTTGTTGTCAAATACTGTGGGCTTTGTGTGAACTAATGCGAATAATTAAAATGTAATTTTGCTATGAGTTTTTGTTAATGATTGAAGTTGAATTTGAAGTTTTTGCGTAGTTTGTTAGAATTATGCATTATTGAATTTTTGTGTGAATTGTGTTGAATTTGGATGGATAGATAGGAATATTAGTATTGTGGATTTTTTGAATTCGAATTTTATTGTGAATTATTGGAGTTAGGGATTATTGAGATTTAATTTCACTGTAAATTGTTCTGAATTTTGATGTGATTTTGTAAAGTATTTAATTGAATTATGTTGAGAACTCTTATGGATATTAAAATTCAAATTAAGATTTGGATTATTAGAATTTAAACTATTGAAACAAATATTGAGTTTGAAATTTAAAACTGTTGGAATACAGATTATTGAAATTAGAATAAGATAATAAAGTGTAATATAAACGAACACGTCTAGATCATAAACTAAATCACAAAATAAGGTGTAGGCGGTGAGTGTAGTGATTTTTTGTACAATGGTGTGGGCAGGGGTAGTAGTGAGGGAGAACCGTAGATGTGGTTATGGTTAGAGTCCGAAGAGGGTTCAGGTGAGGATAATGGATTAGAGTGGAGTAGTTGGTTGGTGGTAAATGGCTATGGTGGATGGAGTAATGAATTTGACAACAGTGACAGATGTTGGTGGTCCTAATGGTATTGGTGGGTGGTGGTGGTAAGCAGAATAAGAATAGAAAAGAAAGAAATAGAGAAATTTACCAAAGCAACACAGCTTGTGGCCCTAGTTGGTTACGTCGCTGGTGGCGAAAGATGGCATTATGTTGTTTGTAACATTGGTGGATGACAAAGATAGAAAAATCTGAGAGAAATAGTGAAGAGTAAAGATATGAGCGACCGAGGATAGCGATGGAAAAGAGAAAGTAGATAAAAGAACCATAGATTATGTTAACGTGAATAAAGAGAATGACAGATATAGGTTGGAAAAGAACCATAGATTATGTTAGCGTGAATAAAGAGAATGACAAATATAGGTTGGAAAATGAAAACTAAGAAAAGATCTCTGACAGTTAGATCATAAACTAGATGATCTAAATCGTTCTTGTAATCTTATATATAGAGGGTACATTTTCAAAAACTCATCTCCATGTCCTATATATATATATGCACAAACACACATACCAAAGATATAAGAATCTATGATAATCACTATGTCAATAATACACTTTTAAGAGAGACGTTTAGTTAGCTACAACTCATAATATACACATATGCACTAGACATGTGCCTATTTTTATGGAACTTTACCCTATGCTAATTAAGTAATCCTCATTCCAACAATCCCAAAATTTCAAATTCCGTATCTATATTAACAACTACAATTCTAATAATCCCAAATACTAATTTCAATTTCAATATTCGTAATGATTCCCACCAAAATTCAATTTAAGTTATCTACAATTTCAATAATTCACAATAATTCTTATCAAAATTCATAACAATGCACAACAAAATTAAATTTCAATAATCCATGACTCCAATAATTCAAAATAATTCCAAGGAACCATGGTTTTGTTGAGATAGTTCAATATTTCATAACTCCATAGTGGTTTTGTTGCGGTCGTCTCCGCAGGGGGCAGTGGCAAAGGTGAATGATCGTGGTGGTTGTGGTTAGGGGTTGGGGTTGGGGTGGGTTCAGGTAAGGATGAAGGGGGTGGAGTGGGGCAATGGGGCAATGGGTTGGTGGTAAACTCCGGTTGTTAATGGAGTTACGAATTAATGATGGTGGCACAGTCCTAATGGCGTGGATGGTCATGGAAGAGGAGCACAGAGGAAAAAAAAAAAAAAGTTACCTAAGCAACACTGCTAGGCGCCCTCAATGGTCACACCGCTAGCGAAAATGAATGGTGTTAAAGTGGTGCAATGTCATTGGTGGATGGCGGTGATAGAAGAGAATAAAATAGAAGAGAGGGCGAAAGAGGAGTGCAAAGAGAGAAAGAGAAAGTTACCAGAATAACGCTACAGATTGCCACCACACTTGCAATGGCCGGTGGCATTATGGTGGTGCTATGATGGATGGAGTTATTGAATTTACAATGGTAGTGTTGTGGTGTATGGAGTTATTGAATTTATGATGATGGTAGACAAAGGTAGTTCTGATGGCGTTGGCAGATGGTGATGGTTAGAGGAAAAAGAAAAGAAGAGAGGGAGGAAGAGAAAGAAGAAGAGAGGGAGGAAGAGAAAGAAGAAGAGAGAGAGAAAGAGAAAGTTACTTGAGCGATGTTGATGGTGATGTTGGATGGTCACATCACTTGCGGTGGTGGATGCAGTTATGGTGGTGCGGGTAGCGAATGGCACTATAGGGGAGATAGAAAAACCAAAGAGAAATGGAAAGAGGACAAATATAGGCATGAATGAGGAGAGAGATGAATGAGGAGAGAGAAGAAGAGGAAAGAAGAGAATGAGAGATATATGCGAGAAAATAAAATTTTGGGAAAGATCTCTAAATTTTGATCATCAAGAAAACAACCTAAGTTCTTGTAATTTATATATTTTAAAAAACCAATCTCACAAATTACACTTGCATGCATACTACTTATGCATGTACATAAATATATATACATATTCAAGGATCTAAGATAATTATTAAGTTACATGTACACTTATATCAGAAATTTCTTTTACAACTCTAATTTCGGATATCAGAAATTTCTTTTATATCAGAAATTTCTTTTACAATTCTTATAATACATGTATACAATAGCATTATCATTCTTTTCACTCACGCTAACATATTATATGCCTCTTTTATCTCCCTTTCTCTTTCCCATCTCTATCCTCAATCACACTCATATCTCTACTCCTCTTCATTTCTCTATAATTCTTCTATCTCTGTAATCCACCACAGTCAGCGACGTGACCATCTGGTGCCACCAACAGTGTTGTTCATGTAACTTTCTCCTTCTTTCTCTCCTATTCTTATTCTGCTCATCACCACCACTCACCAATGTCATTAGGACCA